ATGAACATTTTTTCATGTGTCTGTTGGCTGTATGAATGTCTTCTTTTGAGAAATGTCTGTTCATATCCTTTGCCCACTTTTTGATGGGGTCGTTTGCCCTTTTCTTGTAAATTTGTTTGAGTTCTTTGTAGGTTCTGGATATTAGCCCTTTGTCAGATGAGTAGATTGCAAAAATTTTCTCCCTTCCTCAACACAGTTGCTAGTATCAGAAAACAAGACAGTAATTTTCTTTCTTTCCTCTTCCTCAATCTATAATCTCTTCATCTTATTAATAATTAATATATTCTATTAAGTCTGCCTCTTACATTTTTAAATCAATTTATCCACCATTTACAACTTACTTTTCCAAGCTATCACCATCCTTCCTGTAATAGAAGAGATTATATTGTCTGATGTGGACATGCAATGGAGAGAAAAAAGTCCCACATTGCCAAATTGTTTCTGCATAATGCTTAGGTTCTTTCTGGTAGATAATAACAGTTGTCAAAGAAATTTCAGGTATCGAGGATTAACTACTCTCCTATTACCCTGCTATTAGCTTTTAATAAAAGCAAGTATCAGGCCAAATTCTGACAAATATATAGACATTTATTAGACACATAGTCTTTAGCAAAACCATACACTCAATTATTGCCTTTAGTTGATACCACACAACCAGAAATCCTCTAAACTAATGCCTGAGTGGAGAAACAATCAAGGTTCAAACCTCAGACACCATCCTTAATTCTCACATCCTGTCAGGTAAAGTTTGAAGGTGTATAAATTTTAGTCATTCTACGTGTCTTGAAAATATTTAACTTAACAAATGACATTCTCTTTCTAGCATTCATTTAGCTAATTGACAGGTGTCTAGTTACATCAATAAACACTATTTTTAACACTCACTATGCTATTTATCAAAGAATTAGTTGTTGTTGGAGATAGGACTGGAGAAGGGCTTTCAGTGGTAGACCCTGGGATATGGTTGTTTTTGATTTGAGGCTAGTTGACCACCTTCTTTGGCTGTGCAATCATGATGTATGTTAGATACCCAGGCCCAGATCTAAAGCCTAAACTAACTGGAATATATATATATTTTATATATATATATAAAATATCACACTGATTACTCTAAAATATTTTAATGTAGTGTACAGACATTGCAGCAGTGGTTTTAGTCTTTCCTTCTCTGTAACCTTAAGGTACTTCTTCAATTAGAACTCTGATCATATTAATTTTTTAAAACTAATCAATGGCTTTCCATTATTCTGATTATAAAATAAAATTTTAGCCTCATCTTACACTTACCTTTCTATCCTCCTCTCTCACTATCACCTTCACTCTTTATGATTCAACTATCCTAAATATCTACTGAAAATATACTTTTCAAACTTTTCATATACTCTTCCATTTGCCTGGGGAACATTTTCCTTCTCCTTCACCTGTTCACTTTGTATCTACCCTTCAAGAGATGGGTTATATATCAGCCTGTCACTTCCTCAAGAAGTTTTTCTTTTTTAAAAAAGTCAGAGTCACACTCTCCTCTGCTAACCAGGGTGTAGTGCAGTGGCATGATTATGGCTCACTACAAGCTTGACTTCCCTGGATCAGGTGATCCTCCCACCTCAGTCACCCAAGTAACTGTGACTACAAGCATGTGCCACAACAGTAAGCTATTTTTTTTTTTTTTTAAGGAACAGGGCCTCACTATGTTGCCCAAGCTGGTCTTGAACTCCTGGACTCAAGTGATTATCTTGCCTTGGCCTTCCAAAGTATTGGGGTTTTAGGCATGAGCCACCATGCCTGAGCACAAGAAGCTTTTATGGACTGCAATTTCCAAAAAAAAACCATATGTTCCCACATTAGTCTGTGAAACATCTTTCATAATCCTAATTACACGAACTTGAAATTCTCATTTCCACTTTGATTTGCTTGTTTCTGTTACTCATCAGATCAAATGGAATAACTCTTACAATTCTTAGCACAATCCCCAGAACAAACTTGTTCTCAACAAATGTAGTAGTCCTTCTCTTTTATTCCCCATGTCCCCAACAGTTCTTAATATCAACTTTAGGTTTTGTCTATAGAATAGTTTATTTCTAGAAAGATTAATGAGTTGAACATGCTTCATTTTATAATTGACTTTAGGAAAACAGTAGCAGGCAAAATTATACTATTTTTGAGCCTTTTAATTTAAAAGATGAATAGTACAATGCAAAATGCCTTGATTTGGTGTTTATATATTTTCTTTCCCATATTTAAAAAAATGCTCCAATTCTTAGATCTCCCAAAACCTTGTGTTACAAAAGCCAAATTTAACCCATTTGTGATTGCAATACAATGTTCAACTGTGGTATTTTCTATGCAACTCCAAAGAACGGCTTGACCTCACCCACTGTGCTCCTGCCTGCAAATTGCCATTTACTTTTATTTGGGACATTTGTATATAGTTTTATCTATGGTTTCATTATATCATCGGTAGTTTATACCTTTAGAGTCTAAAATCTTTGACTCAAGAGTTTATGGAACAATGGAGAAATATGTACATATTAGATTATTATCAACTAACTCTTCATAGTTGGCTGAAGCCTTAATAACAATAGGTTAGTCAGTATTTGAATAATAATTCTGGAAAAGATTAGGAAAACATAAATTGTGCTTACACGATTGTGCTCATGCACTAGCTAGTACCTAACAGCTGTAGTGAAAATCTTTTAAATGTGAATTGGCTCAGCTACCTGCCCATGTGTGACCACTTTGAAATCAGCGAAATGCAGTATAGTGAGAGCATCCTTGGACTTCCCTTCCCCCACGTTGAAGGCTGGTCACAATGCTCTGGGTCTATGGGCATTGGATCTCACAGAAACATTGATAAAATCATTTTTGCTTACGATGCTTCATAAAAAACGGCCTCTTTAGAAAACTTAGACCCAGTTTGAGTGCCTGGACTCTGTTTATCCTTAGGGTAACAGTTTTACCTCTGGCCATTCAGGTAGATCCGGTTGTCAGCTGCAAATAACCTTTTCCCAAAGTATAAAGAGTACATTCTCATATTTATCTGTACTCACAAGAGCAGAAAAATTTCTTAAGAATTATATTTAAACAGATATTCTCACCTGCCATAAACAAACAGATTTAAGTATGTCATATTATTGCAAAAAGCCTTTTTTTTTAATGGAAAAGCTAGAGACCGTCAAAAAATAAAGCTAATCAAGCAGGCCTCCATTTTGGGTGGCAGCCCAGAATGGCAGAGGAAGCAGGTTTAGAAACACAGCAGGCAGAGACACAGATAATCATCATCAGAACAGGCAAGTGCAGATTTACCTTGAAGCTAATGATGCTTCAACTATAGAGCCCTCCTATCTAACTGCTGAGAGCACAGGGAGTTTCTGGAAATGGAAGAAGGTTCTAGTTAAATAGAGTAAAAAACATTGGAAGCAACTCTGATAAATAACCTTGAAATATCGTCGATGAAATTAATCTGTATCTCTAAAGCTCTAGTAATTGTGGATTCTAAATATTTACTTTGGAGCCTCATTATGAGTTTGTAGTTATATATTTTTTTCTTAGAGCACCTCTACCTCAAATTATATCAGTTTCAGGCCTCACAGAATGTGGACCTTTCCTGAACAAACAGAAAAGACTAAAGGAGTTTCATTTCATTTCCTGTTAGCTCCCATTACTAATATTTTCATTTGTAGCTTGGAGGTCATGGTCTATGTTTTGGGAGCTACCGTTAGATATATGGGCTTTCTTCACAAATTTATGGGTATTTCTGTTCAAGATTCAATAGTAAGATAAAAATAATCTGTAAACTTACTTGAAACAGTGGAATTTAATTTGACTGGGGGGATCGGTCCTCACAATGTCATTTTAGAAAAACATAATTATTTTGACATTTTATTCATATAATAGATGAGATGTGAAATGAGCTTCATGGATGAAAAACGCACTGATGGCTGCTAAGTTTTACACTGTATAAACAAGAATTGAGCTGCTTCTACAGAAAACCATAAAATTTTAGTTTAGATGCTAGATATGGAGACAGTAAAATACCCTAAATGAAAGAAGGCTATTAATCCTATAATGAGATCAGAGTATCATATGCATTTATGTACCTGTAAATAGAAGAAGAAATGAGTTTGTCTCCACACACAATTAGAGGTATATGCCAAATTTGTATTTTAAATGTTAAAGACAATTATCCTTTGGGAAAAATCACTTTTAAAGGATATCATAATTATAGTTTTATTTTTGTGACATGGAAATCATTACATTTTCTAAGTCATGAAAAATACCAAATAAGAATATCGAACTTCAAAAGAAGATACAGAGGCAAAGATTAGTTGTGATTTTGCACACTTAAAAAAAGAAATAAAAAGAAATGTGTTTATTTGAAAATAGTTCTAAGGGAGAAAAGATCAGAACCCCACAAATTCTAAAGCATTTTACTAGTCATTAGCTTCAGTGGAAATATAAACTTGAACTCTGCAAAGACAGCAACAAGGGACTGTAGAACACATTTAGATGTAGAATACATTAGAAAGGTGACTTGGTCAGGCTCGGTGGCTCACACCTGTAATTCTAGCACTTTGGGAGACTGAGGCAAGTGGATCACTTGAGGCCAGGAGTTCGAGACCAGCCTGGCCTACATGGAGAAACCCCATTTCTACTAAAAATACAAAAATTAGCTAGGCATGGTGGTGGGCACCTGTAATCCCAGCTACTCGGGAGGCTGAGGCGGGAGAATTACTTGAACTCGGAGGTCAGAGGTTACAGTGAGCCAAGATCGTGCCACTGCACTCCAGCCTGGGAAACAGAGTGACTCTATCTCAAAAAAGACTCCGTCTCAAAAAAAGAAAAAAAAGAAAAAGAAAAGTGACTTATTTTGCCCAGTTAAGAAAAATGCAGATTAGCATTTATCTTCCTTGATCTCATATGACCACATTCTTCTCGTATGTTATGAAATTCCAGGAGATAAAAGCAAAATGCAAATATCACTTCAATGTTTTCACTGTGGTAGATGGGTTTGCCTAAAGTAGTGTTAAAGAGTTCTCAGTAGTGTTGTAGATGATCTCTAAGCCCTTGTCTATCACTGGGATAAAGACTACCTCAACAAGAAATTTTTAAATGCCTTAACTTGAATGTATGAAATGCTGTTTTCATATTGCCTAAAGGATTTGACTTCTACTCTCAATTCTAATTAAAATTTAAAAAGCTGGAAAGATACAGATACTGGTTTTGATAAGTCACAAGATGAAAGTTATAATCCTCTAATCCTCATTCAACTATCCAATTAATAACAGGATTACAGTTTCTCCGAAAAAAATGCTCACATTGTTCGCATCTTTCTGGACAGCACACAGCTTGTTAACCTACTTTGGGTGCATTGAGTTTGAAATATATATCAGAGAACAACTATGTAGAGTATCTGATATTCACTTTTAAAATGTTGTATCACTAAAAATCATTTATCTAATACCTGCATAAACTATATGAAAATCTATTATATTCCTTGAGGAATTCATGTCATCAACCTGACAGTTTACCAGATGTAATAAAAGACAGCTTCTAAGATTGGGTCTTTTTAAAAGAAGGTCTCTCTGCCCCAGTAATACCTCTTAAAAATTATTCTGCTTTCTTTTAGTACTTTTTATTTAATTAGAGGCAGAAAATTGAAAAAAAAGAAGACAAAACAGAAACTCTAATCTGATTTAGAAATAGGAACGTTTACTTATTTTGTTCAAGAAAGCAATACAATTACTTCTTCTCCTTGCTTCTGAAAGCAGTGCTTATATTTACCAAGCTTTTATAACAAACACAGTTAATATCTGCTGCTATATGTTTATCCACTGAACCACACAGTCCACATCACCATAGAAAACTGGTCATGTCATCTTAAAGATATTTTAAAAAATCATAGTTTCTTCTGTAAGATTTATCTTAAAACATAGGCTAATTCCATAAGCTAATCCATGTTATTTTTTTTTCAGATTTACAGAAAACTGTTGAAGGTAACACAGAAATAGTGTACTCAGTTTCCTCTGCATTACATTAATGAACCAATATTGGCACTTTATTATTAATGAAGTACATACTTTATTCAGAGTTCCGTAGTTTTTAATTTCATGTCCTTTTTCTCTTCCAGGATCTCATTTAGGGCACTACATTGCATTTAGTCATCATGTCTCCTCAGGTTCTTCGTGTCTGTTACAGCTTCTCAGACTTCCTTGGTTTTGGTGACCTTGACAATTTTGAAGAGATAGGTACTAGTCAGATATTTTGTAGAATGTCCCTCATGTGGGCTTTGCCTGCTTCTTTATCTGGATTTTATTTATTTATTTATTTTGGTTTTGAGTGTTTTCCTCACAATTAGACAAACATACCTGTTTTGGAGAGAAAGACCACAGAGGTTTGTCTCATTTTCATTATATCCTATGAAGGAACATACTATCAATATGACATCACTATTGACCTTAATCACTAGAATGGAATACTACACTGTTTTCGCTGTTGTAATTTTCTAATTTTGGTTCTATTGGTTAGTAGTGTTAATAACAGCAAAATCAAAACTGATTGTTTAGATTTGCTGTATTCCCTGAAATCTTAAACTCAATCAGTTGTTTCTCAAATATTCAAATTAGCATTCAAAAGAGATGCTTTTTATAAGTTATATAAAATCCTTTAAATAATCTGTTATCTTGAACACTTTAGGATTCTCAGGATTTTTCCCATTGAAAATGTTTCTGATTTACTGTTTGTATATGTGAGCATATTTTCTTCTCTATTAAAAAAATGTGTGAATAAAAATATACAAAACAATTTTCAGCCGTGCTAAAGGGATAATGATTAAACTAAATAAAAATCACTGAAAGAAAACGTAGAAAAATAAAAAATATTAATATATATTATTCCTTTTAAGAAGGGAAGTCCTTCTTAAAACAAGACCTACTTTAGAATCAATAATAAAGCAATTACCAGCTCGATTATTAAATGTTAAAAAGTTCTGAACAACCCAAAAAAGTGCTATAAAGAAAGTTAAAATCTAATGAAATGAAAGACTGGGAGAACATATTTTCAATATGTGTAAAATTATCAATAACCAGAATATTGTCAATCTTTATAAAAAATTAAAAGGAAAAGACAAAACCAAAATAAGAAAAGGAACACAGAAGAAATTTGTAGCCAATTACCAGATGGCAAAATACAAATAACTAATAGAGCTATGTAAAAATGTTTACTTGTGGCCGGGCGCGGTGGCTCAAGCCTGTAATCCCAGCACTTTGGGAGGCCGAGACGGGCGGATCACGAGGTCAGGAGATCGAGACCATCCTGGCTAACACGGTGAAACCCCGTCTCTACTAAAAAATACAGAAAACTAGCCGGGCGAGGTGGCAGGCGCCTGTAGTCCCAGCTACTCGGGAGGCTGAGGCAGGAGAATGGCGTGAACCCGGGAGGCGGAGCTTGCAGTGAGCTGAGATCCGGCCACTGCACTCCAGCCTGGGCGGCAGAGCCAGACTCCGTCTCAAAAAAAAAAAAAAAAAAAAAAAAATGTTTACTTGTACTGTCATATCAAAAATGTAAAGTAAGCCAATAATGAAATACCTTTCCCACTAATCCAATTGGCAAAAATGAAACATCAAATGAAGAAAGAGTTCTAAAGCACATGTTTTGTGGAAATGTAAATTTACGCAACATTTTAACATAACAATTTTATAGTATACACTTACATTTTCAGTGGCCACACCCTTTAGCTTAATAGTTCCACGCCTTACTATCTAGCCTAGATTGTATCTATATACAAAAATCTGTTTGGAATTAGTATTTTACAGAATTGTCTGGAATAATAAACAAAAAAACCACCTGTGTTTCTAAATAATAAAATCCAGCAATATTTTTATATAGGTAACCATGAAATAAAAGAATAAAATAGAAATATCTAACACTAATTCACTTCCTTGACTAAGTTTTAAGTGTTTTGTTATTTTGGATGCTGTTGTAAATAGGATTGTTTTAAGAAAATTAAGAATACCCATTTTGTTTGTTGAGTAGTTTGCTGTTAGTATATAGAAACACAACTTATTTTTGTTTGTCAGTTATGTATCCTGAAACTTTACTGAATTTGTGTACTGATTTAAACAATTTTTTGTGGGGTCCTTAGAGTTTTCTCCATATAAGATCATTTCAACTGCAGAGAGAATTTTACTTCCTGTTTTCTGATTTGGATGCCTTTTATTTATCTTTCTTTCCTAATTACTCTATGTAGCATTCCATTTTCGCATTGCTGTAAGAACTCCTGAGACTGGGTAACTTGTAAAGGAAAGTGGTTTAATGGACTCACAGTTCCATATGGCTGGGGGGGTCTCAGGAAACTTACAATCATGACAGAAGGGTAAGCAGGCATGTCTTACATGGCAGTAGGTGAGAGAGAGAGAGAGCAAGAGCAGGGAAACCTGTCTTATAAAACCATCAGATCTCATGAGAACTCACTCACTATCTCAAGAACAGCATGGGGGAACCACCCCCATGATCCAATCACCTCCCACTAGGACCCTCCCTCCACATGTGGGGATTATGGGAATTACAATTCAAGATGAGATTTGGATGGGGACACAAAGTTAAACCTTATCACTCTAGCTAAGATTTCCAGTACTATGTTGAATAAAAGTAATGAGATTGGACATTCTTGCCTTGTTCATAATCTTAGAGAAAAGGCTTTCAATATTTCACCATCGAATATAATGTTAGGTGTGGGACTTTTTATATATTGCGTTTATTATTTTGAGGTAAATTACTTATTTACCTAGTTTGTTGAGAGTTTTTCTCATAAAAGCGTGCTCAATTTTGTCAAATGCTTTTTTGCCTTTACTTAGACAATCATGTGACTTTTTACCCTTCATTTTGTAACTGTGGTATATCACATTAATTAGCTTGCCTATCCTGAACTCTCCTTAATTCCAGCAATAGATTCCCCTTGGTCATGGTGTATGATTCTTTCAATGTACTAGTAAATACAATTTCCTAGTCTCCTGTTGAGGACTGTTATACCTATGTTCATTAGGAATATTAGCCTATAGTTTTCTTTTTCATTTAGTGTTTCTGTCTGGCTTTAGTGTCAGGGTAATGCTGGCTTCATAAAGCAAGTTTGGAAGTCTTTGTTGTTCAGTTTTCTGGAGGAGCTTTAAAAGGGTTGGTGTTAATTGTTTTGGAAATGTTCATAAAATTCACAAATGAAGCCATCTGGTCCAGGTCTTTTTTTGTTGTTGTTTAAAAAGTTTGACTGCTGATTTAATTTTCTTACTTGTGAGATACTGAATTAAGAGGGCAGATAAGAGGCAGGACTAGCTTGCAGCTCCCACTCTCACAGGCAGAGCAGCGCGTGTAGACTCACATTGTGAACTCTTGCTCCAAGAACTACCACAGCAACATATCAGGAAAGCTGAGAGAATCCACAGACCCTCTGAAGGAACTGGATTACTGCTGCAGGCTCCCTGAGATGCAGAAAAACCGAGTGTCAGCGGAGAGGCTGGGGGTCTGGGGTAACTTCTCAGCCCTGGTCACCAGCTGCCCGGAAATAGACTCTGTGCTGTTGGCGGGGCATGGTGGGAGTGAGACTGACCTCGAGGACTATGGGCTGCATGGGAGAGGAGCGAGGCATGTGACTGCAGCCGTCCCCCTACTTCCTTGGCAACCTGTGTCACTCAGCAGAGGCAGCCATTATCCCTCTGGGAAAATAGCTCCATTGGCCTGAGAACCACACCCCAATGCCCCACATCAGCTGCAGTAAGCCCCGCCCAAGGAGAGGCTGCGCTCAGACATGCCTATCCTTGCCCCCACCTGGTGGTCTTTCTCTGCCTGCCCTGGTTGCCTAAGAGGAAGGACCTAATCTCTTGGGAGCTCTATGGCCCAGTCCACCACCTGAGAAACCTCAATACTTAACCAGGCAAGTTTGCTTCCTCCTGATAGTACCACAGCCAGTGTGCTCTTGAAAGCACCACCTCCTGGCTGGAGGCCGACCAACACAAAACTAGCTCACTAAATAAAAATACAACCAAGGACCCTCACAGAGTCCACTTCACTCTCCTGCTTCCTCCACAGAAGCTGGAATCCACAGCTGAAAGACCTGAAGATAGACCACATCACAACACTCTTTGCAGACATTCCCCAGTACCAGTCTAGAGCCCAGTAGATCCGCTGGGTGGTTGGACCCAGAAGAGCAAAAACCATCATCACTGCACTTTGGCTCTCAGGAAGCCCCATCCCTAGGGGAAGCGGGAGAACACCATTTCAAGGGAACACCCCTTGAAGCAAAAGAATCTGAAAAGCAGCCCTGAAGCCCCGCATCTTCCCTCCGATATAGTCTACCCAAGTGAGAAGGAACCAGAAAAACAATTCTGGTAATATGACAAAATAAGGTTCTTTAACATCTCCAAAACATCACACCAGCTCACAAGCAATGTATCCAAACCAAGACAAAACTCTTAATTGCCAGAAAAATAATTCAGAAGGTCTATTATTAAGCTAGGCAAGGAGGCACCAAGAAAGGAGAATTCCAACTTTAAAAAATAAAAAACATGATACAGAACAGGAAAGAAAAAATCTTCAGTGAAATAACAGAACTAAAAGACAGTCACAACTTCTGGAAATCAAGAACACACTTAGAGAAATGAAAAACGCACTGGAAAGTCTCAGAAATAAAATTAAACAAGCAGAAGAAAGAACTTCAGAGTTCAAAGACAAGACATCCAAATTAACCCAATCCATCAAAAACAAAGAAAAAGGGAATTTAAAAAAATGAACAAAGCCTCTAAGAAGTTTGGGACTATGTTAAGTGTCCGAACCTAAGAATAATTGGTTTTCCCAAGGAAGAAGAGAAATCTAAGTTTGGAAAATATATTTGAGGGAATAATCTAGGAAAACCTCCTGGCCTTGCTAGAGATCTAGACACCCAAATATAAGAAGCTCAAGGAACACCTGGGAAATTCATCACAAAAAATCATCACCTAGGCACATAGTCATCAGGTTATCTAAAGTCAAGACAAAGGAAAGAATCTTAAGAGCTGTGAGGCAAAATCGTCAGGTAACCTATAAAAACAAACAAACAAACAAAACCTATCAGAGTAACAGCAGAAGATTTATCAGCAGTAACCAAGCTAGAAGGGACTGGGGTCCTGTTTTCAGCCTCCTTAAACAAAATTCAGTCAAGAATTTTGTGTCCAGTGAAACTAAGCTTCATAAATGAGGGAAAGATACAGTCTTCCAGACAAACAAATGCTGAGAAAATTTGTCACTATCAAGCCAGAACTACAAGAACTGCTAAAAGGGGCTCTAAATCTTATTTATTTATTTATTTATTTATTTTATTTTATTTTATTTTATTTTATTTTTGAGACAGAGTCTCGCTCTGTTGCCCAGGCTGGAGTGCAGTGGCATGATCTCGGCTCACTGCAAGCTCCGCCTCCCAGGTTCATGCCATCTTCCTGCCTCAGTCTCCCAAGTAGCTGGGAATACAGGTGCACACTGCCACTCCCAGCTAATTTTTTGTATTTTTAGTAGAGACGGGATTTCACTGCATTAGCCAGGATGGTCTTGATCTCGTGACCTTGTGATCTGCCAGCCTCGGTCTCCCACAGTGTTGGGATTACAGGCGTGAGCCACCACACCTGGCCAAGGAGCTCTAAATCTTGAAACAAATCCTCAAGATACTGCAAAATGGAACCTCCATAAAGCATAAACCTCACAGGACCTACATAACAATAACACAAATAAATAAAAAGGTATTCAGACAACAAATAGGACAATAAATAGAGTAGCA